TTAGGCCCCAGCGTTGATGACTGTATTCGGCCCCGGTTATTGTCAGTATGAGCGAGTGAACTTGGTTCCTCCATTGATAAGTAAACTTGACCCCACCAGTGATTAATGAAGCCAGTCCGACTGTTGGTCTGTTTAAATGAATAATCTTGGCCTCAGCTCCCGTCAGTCTGAATAAATAATTTTGGCCCCGGTATTGATAAATAAATTCGGCCCTTTCATTGATCGGTTTGAATAAAAGTCGGCCCGTTGCTCGTCGATTTGGATAAATAATCTCGGCCCTGGCTCCAATCGGTGTGAAAATAAAATGTTGACTCGGCCTCAGTTACAATTGGTATGAAATAAATAAATTCGGCTGGTCCTCGTCGATTTAAAAAATAAATTCAGCCCGCATGTTTATATGGAACCATTTCAGATCAACTTAAAATATCTGCCACAATATAGCGGACTTGGGCCGTGTTAGTTTTGTGGCAGCCAAATTTGGGTACATCAACATATACTCACCAGGAATTCTTCTTTCATGTGGGCCAAGAAAAGGCATTTCAATGGCTTATGATACTTTCAATAAGAAATCTCATATGAGATCGGTAATTTCCGAGAGGAACGATCTGCTCAGCAGGGCTACCAATTGTAAAATTCCGTTCATCTAACCTGTAGATCGTCAATTCTATCTAACGACTTCTCTGTTTTCTGCAAATTGACTTGGCCGTGACGTTGTCGTTTGTTGCGATGTCGGAAAATAGGACTTCGGCGATTGAATATGTCGTCCGATGAGGTCGGGCCCCAGTTGTCTCGGAGATCTGGTTCAAACTTGCCGTCGGTTTGGGGAGGAAAAAAATCAAAGATATCGAACATCAGATTTTTGTCGGGCCGAGATGTCGAAGTCGGTTGTGGCCGATTTGTGGCGACGCCGGCCGATGATATGGTCGGCTTGTGAGGTGGACCTCAAATTTTTTTCGAGCTGTTGCGAGAATTGAAAATTTGGTGGCAAACCGAAAGTGAGAAGTCGGTCCTTCTGTTTTGGATTTCTGGGCTTGTGCTGTGACGCCAGTCGTCGGCCGAGGTAGGAGTTGACCTGGTCGGATTTACAGGCCCATGTCGAAGTGATGTCGGTCAATTTGAGACGATGTCGGTTGTAGAAGGAGAAGTCGGATCTCCACCAAAGTCGGTTGGTTGTTGACGCAGAGATCAGCTGCGATTAAATCAGGCCCTAATCTAGTCGGTCGTGGTGTCGAATTTTTGTTGGGCCAAGATATTGAAGTCGGTCCGGGGTGTTTTAATGTCAGATAGCCCGAAGTCAGCCCAGAGAGGTCGAAGTCGGGCTCGAATTTTTTGGGTTAGAGTTGGCTCGGCTTATGGTTGTTTTGGGCAGCTTGTTGATATTAGTTTGAAAAGGACTTTGTCACGGCTGAAATCGAATTTCCGGATATGGGCAAAACGAGGTTGAGGATATTTGAAGACTGTTGGAACCCACGAGGATCTCGATATGCACAAATCACAGACAAACATTCAACATAAACCTATGCGCAGCGGATCTAAAGGTTTGATGAAGAAAACTTACTGCTTAAAATTTATGTAGATCTGGCTGGCCCGGACAGTTGACCACAAATCAAATCTTCTCAGAATCGAACAAACTTGACCGATCCGTAAAGCTGACGTCACGGCGAAGTCAACGGCATTTACCGATCGGAAATCGGAGGTCACACGCTCTCTCACGCGCCGGTGCAAGTTCCAGCAGCAGGCTCCTCCCGGCGGCGCGTGTGGGCGCGTGCGGCGGCGATCTCGACGGCGATCTCTTCGTCTCGTCGTCCTGGTCGTCGTGGTATGGTCACTTGCTGGTTTTGGTCTCCGGTTTGGATGTATGATCGGAATCTCTATATACCTTAAGATCTTCTACTGTATTCTCAAACAACTTTCTAGATCTTGTATCAGTGGAGCACAAGAAATAGAACTACTCCTTGGAAGAGAGAGAAAAGGGGCTGGACGATGTTTCCAAATTGTGGGATTGTTCTCATTGTTCTCTTCCATGAGCCTAATGCTGTATA